CGGAGAAGGGCAAAGAAGACTGCAGACAGAGTATAGGCTAGGCGGCTATACAGCATTGGAAAATAAGGAATATCCACTAGGAATTTTTATTGACCTAAGAAAAGCTTTTGACACAGTAGACCACGGCATCCTACTCCACAAACTTGACCGTTATGGTATAAGAGGCCATGCACTTGCATATTTCAAATCTTACCTTAATAATATCAGTGCACTTGTGAAAGAATATTAGACTCATCAGTTGACGTGTATTGGACACTTGGCATGATTTGTTTACTTTTGAAATCTGGTAAAAATTGAACATTTCTGCTACTTTGAGCTCAATTTCAAGATATTTTTCATTATGAAACCAGGAAAACTAGAATACAACCATAAATACCATACAAAAATACACTGCAAAGTCGCTGTTTTAAACCAAAAACACGGTCGGAGCTTTTTTTCTTATTATGCACTGTGCTGCAGGATTTTTTTATACTGTGCATACTGACCACATAGACCCATTCTTTCATATGTAGGCCTACCAGCTTTCTCTCACTAGATTTTAAGGCGCTAGAATTTAGGCGTTCTAGTACGTCAAGAACCCTGGTGCCTAAGCCGTACTAGTATGTCGGAAACCCTGAAAGGGTTAAGGTTGCATTTGTCCTAAATGGAAAATTTTGTATATTTTGGTAACTCAAAAATATTTTTGTATTGTCTGCCTCTGCAATTTTTGGCATAAATTTTTTTTATGTTTTTTTGAGCAATTTATATGTATAAAAAAAATATTTATTTTGGGGGTGGATAATTTGGTTTATTAGTACAGCCTCTCCTCATTTAATGACGTACTTGTTTACTGGTGATTCAGACTTACAATGGGCTCTCTGACCAGTATGCATACCTAAATAATGTATATTAGAGCTGATTTCCTCTATTCTGTATATTACAATACACAGTATACTGCTGTATAAACATTTAAAAATATACCAGAAATGTTATAAATGGTGCAAGGGTGACATTAACCCTTTCAGGGTTTTGGCCGTACTAGTACGGCTTACGCACCAGGGTTTTTGACGCCTAAATTCTAGCGCCCTCAAATCTAGTGAAAGCTGGTAGGCCCACATATGAAAGAATGGGTCTATGTGGTCAGTGTGCGCGGTATAAAAAAAAATTATGCAGCACACAGTGCGTAATGAGAAAAAAAAAAAACTTTGATCGTGTTTTTGGATTAAAACAGTGACTTCGCACTGTATTTTCGTATGGTATTTATTGTTGTATTCTAGTTTTCCTGGTCTCATTTTATAGAATGGAAGACATATTACAGAAATTGAGATGATTTTGACTGGTTTTACAAAGAAAAATATCTTGAAGTTGAGCTCAAAGTAGCAGAAATGTTCGATTTTTACCAAAGTTCAAAAGTAAACAAATCATGCTATGCGTCTAATACACGTCAACTGGTGAGTCTAACATTCTTTCACAAATGCGATGATATTATTTATACCATTTCTACGCTAATGCAGTAGTCTGCATAACAGTAAATCTTCTATTTTTTTGTGAGAATAAAAATTCTAAGTGGAGCGCAAAAGAATGTAAGAGGGGCGTAGGGACGTGACTAATGAACAGAGGAAATGTTAATCTAGTGCCAGGAATCTCTTTCTTGTTTATTCTGGACCCTATTCGGAAATTGGCATCTTTTGAAATTTGTGTGAAATTGGCAAAATTGCTAAATTCTGACCACTGTATTGGATAGTTGAAATAGGTAAATGGGTGGTTTCTTGTACTCATTCGATAGAAAAAATGGAGTTATAGCGAAATAGTTATGATTTTTGTCGACTAGTACACTGGAATTGGCTGAAAATAGGGCTCAAACTGGGCAAAATCGCCGATGCGTATTATTATTATTATAATCAAAAAGAAGCGCTAAGCCACAAGGGCTATACAGCGCTTCGCCGATGCGTAAACATTGTCGAGACCGCTAAATTCGCGAGAGCATAATTCCATAAGTTTTCCATCGAATTTCGTATTTTTGGTGTCATTATGATCGGGAAAAGATTCTCTATCTTTTCATAAGAAATTTTTTTTTTTTTAAATTTTGCCGACCCTGAGAACAAGTCTCTGAGAGGGCCTGTCGACCCTGAAAGGGTTAAAACAATATCAAAGATGGCCGACACAAACACACTACCATTATAGTATGCTCCTTACTCGGGAATGAATTTGTTTACCGATGTGGTCTCAGGAACCGAACTCCGCCGTTAAGCGAGAAGAGGCTGTAAATATATTTCACAAAATTTTTGTGGGAGTCCTCACACTTGGCACCCCTGGGGCAGCTGCCCCTATGGTCTTGTGTTTAAATAAGAGCTTATTCGGATTTTTAACCCAGAGGGTTAGCCAACCAGGATAACCCAAGACAGTTGGTGCATCATCGAAGACTATCTTATTGCCACTGGGGTCCTTCAGGATGCAACCCACACTAGTTGATTAACACCTAGGTACCTACTTACTTGCCAAATGAACAGGGACAGCAGGTGTAAGGAAACACCCATTGTTTCCACTCTTGCTGGGAATTGAACCACGGACACTCAGAGTGTGAGGCAAGAGCATTGCTTACCAGGGCACTGGACACCACCAGGCCCTGACTAATCTAGGGGATGCTATCACCTTGGTTGTTCCAGGGGACGTCATCGCCCCTAGTTGCTCCAGGGGACGCCGTTGGCAATGGTTGCTCCAGGGGACGCCGTCGGCCCTGGTTGCTCCAGGCGATGCCATCGCCCCTGGTTGCTCCAGGGGACGCCGTCACCCCTGGTTGCTCCAGGGGACGCCATCGCCCCGGTTGCTCCAGGGGATGCCGTCGCCCCGGTTGCTCCAGGAGACGCCATCGCCCCGGTTGCTCCAGGGGATGCCGTCGCCCCGGTTGCTCCAGGAGACGCCATCGCCCCGGTTGCTCCAGGAGATGCCATCGCCCCGGTTGCTCCCTCCAGGGGACGCCGTCGCCCCTGGTTGCTCCAGGGGACGCAGTCGCCCCTGGTTGCTCCAGGGGATGCCGTCGCCCCTGGTTGCTCCAGGGGACACAGTTGCCCCTAGTTGCTCCAGGGGACGCAGTCGCCCCTGGTTGCTCCAGGGGACGCAGTCGCCCCTGGTTGCTCCAGGGGACGCAGTCACTCCTGGTTGCTCCAGGGGACGCAGTCGCCCCTGGTTGCTACAGGGGACGCAGTCACCCCTGGTTGCTCCAGGGGCTGCCATTGTCCCTGGTTGCTCCAGGGGCTGCCGTCGCCCCTGGTTGCTCCAGGGGCTGCCGTCGCCCCTGGTTGCTCCAGGGGCTGTCGTCGCCCCTGGTTGCTCCAGGGGACGCAGTCGCCCCTGGTTGCTCCAGGGGACGCAGTCGCCCCTGGTTGCTCCAGGGGACGCAGTCGCCCCTGGTTGCTACAGGGGACGCAGTCGCCCCTGGTTGCTCAAGGGGCTGCCATCGCCCCTGGTTGCTCCAGGGGCTGCTGTCGCCCCTGGTTGCTGCAGGGGCTGCCGTCGCCCCTGGTTGCTCCAGGGGCTGCCGTCGCCCCTGGTTGCTCCAGGGGCTGCCGTCGCCCCTGGTTGCTCCAGGGGCTGCCGCCGCCCCTGGTTGCTACAGGGGCTGCCGTCGCCCCTGGTTGCTCCAGGGGCTGCTGTCGCTCCTGGTTGCTTCAGGGTCTGTTGCCCTAAGGGGATAGCACCCTGTTGGCACTACATTCAGCATTATATGACCCTAAACCTAAATTGTTTGACCTTGTTTTGTTTATAATTTTAAATTTTGTTTAAATCTGATTTTAAAATTTTCTTTTTTCACTAATACTGTTTGAAATTTTTTCCAATTTGTTCTTTGCTTAAATTGTGATTCTGTTCATCCCGATGTTTACTTTTAGTTTTATTAATATTTTCAGGCCTAATGTTCTCAGTGCCAATGTTTTCATCTCCAATGCTTTTTCATGTAAATTATTTTCATTGCAATGTTTTTAACTAATGCATTTAAATTTTTTCCCCCTAAATTTTTTCAGTGTAATGTAATGTTTCTAGTTTAATGTTTTTAAATTTTTTTTGTCAAATATTTATTCAACTAAATGATTTCTTCAACCACACGTTTATTCAGTGTTTTTTGTACAAAATGTTTAGTCAAATGTTTTCAACTTTTTTCTAGCCAAATGATTTTCAAAATTTTTTTTCAGTCAAATGTTTTTTCAATAATGCTCTTTCAGTAGTAACCACTGCTCTGAGAGTTTACCTGGAGTATACCTAAGTATACCTTACAATGAAAGCAAGGCAGAACAAAAAGGAGCACTAAACACACCAAGGTAGGGCCTGTAGACTGTTGGGGTGCAACATAACACCTTTTGATAAGAAATCTTGGGGGGTAAAAGTATTCAAACTAAGATAATTCATTAAACCCCTCTCTGCAGTATAAATGTACTTATCTACATGTGACCATGTAGGTAAGCACCAAAAGAGCATGTGCCCTCAAATGTCTGTCTGACAATAGTCAAATTTAACAACTGAATAATTTAATGGGACCAACACAACCTCCTGTTTCAACTATCTTACTCACCAAAACAGCACAATGCCCACTGATGCTAGGGGCAAGTGTAGCATATTCTATTCACAGGCAGGCCAAAACAATTTATTACAGGCCTTCATATATGACAAACATAAAAGCAACTCCTAGCTCTGTAAACACCCTGGCATAGGAAGCCCCAGCCAGTGCACTCAAAAATGAATCTTCAGACTGCAATCTTAATTTTAAGGTGTGTTAAGAAAGAGGGAACAGTGAATGTACAGGTATAAGAAGTTCTGAATTAACTTCACAAGAGTAAGGCTGTAAATGAAGTCACCCATACACTTAAAGCACTATAGCATTTGACTATTATCAGAGTAATGAACATCATCCAGCACAAAAAATAAATCAACATGTTAAAACCTTAAGGTACTCTTCAAATCTGGGATACCTAAATATCCCATAATTAATAGTAAATAACTCCTGTTTATGTATGACTAATATCCCTTGGTAGTGATATAGTTTATTTCATGGGGAAAATTGTACCTTCACAGCAATTATCTACATTTTTCAAGCTCTTAATATTTTTTCACTATGTACATTGAATTGCATCCAGTGTCATTTCAACCATGAACAAAAGTCCTTCACATTGTCAATGTGCTGTTCCTCATTGCTGTGAAGGCTTCTACTTGACAGCTTCTACTCTCACAAAATCAAACCTCTACCTACAGATTAATGTAGAAGAAATTAAGTGACTTAGAACAACTTGTGATCACATTTCTATGAAGAAATATAAATAATTTAACTACATTTACAGTACTAAGAATATTTAATCTGGGCCACTGTAAGCAGTGGATTTTTTATTTTGCTGGAGCAGATTTGACATGTATTTTAAGGAAGTTTACAGCATGGATCTACAAAAACTTGTCACTTCTTTACAACTGGTCCACATATGGCACTTTACTGATGCTTCCCACTGCACTCATGCTCAGCCTGCTTGCTAATACTTTTCGAAGTGCCTAGGAGAAAAAGGAAATGTACTATTAATATTCTTTAAGTATATTTCCAAATACTGCACTGTACTTTGTCTTTTAACTATATTCCTATATTTCCTTTATCATCTTATGAAAGTGCAGCTAGGGAGTCAACAAAAACTCATTCTATTTGGTTTAGGATTCCAGCCTGTTATGTTCTTAAAAACCTGATAGGAAAATTTCATAGAGAAAAACTAATGGCACTTGATATAACTTGGCGTATTTAGATTAACTAGACATCTGCAAGTCCTCCCAACATGTTAATTGCCATCCTAACCCAGTAGGCAGTAAAATACATAGTAATGCATATTTTCTTAAATGGATGAAATATATTAGTGTAAGTGTATAGACAAAACAGGCTTCCAAGGCCAAGAAATAATTGTCAGTTATTAGGATACTGAACATTTCATAATGTGGGTCATGTTTACTAGTTTTTAAGGCTGAAATTAGTTCAATACAGCAGGGGCACGGTTTACAGCTATTTCAAATACATTCTTTCAACACACTGGCTGTCTCCCACTGAGGCAGGGTGACCCAAAAAAGAGTAACACTTTTGCCATCATTCACACATAACTGCCTTTACAGAGGCTTGCAGCCCAGTAGTGAGCAGAGCAAATCTCATTGCTGAGGTCCAGGGATCAAAACCCTGGACTAAAAAATAATAATAAAAAATTAAACACCTTCTCCTGTACAGCATACTAAAAATAAAAAATAAAACCATTTCAAATTATACCCAAAACTTTGTTTATATGGCTCTTGATTTGCAATCACAGCCTGAGCTCCCAGCTGGGTGTCCACCCATCATTTTCTCTCTCTGTTTGGTTACACCCTCAGTGAACTCTACATCTCTTGATTCTGTCTGGAAACTTTCCAAAGTTTCAAGTGTTTTCAAGTTACTGCACATTTTATATATACTTTTAATGTGTTATAATGGCATCTAAGGGTGGTTGTGAGAAAGAAAAGAAAAAAAAAAAAAAAAAAAAAAAAAAAAAAGAGGAGGAGTCATAAGGCTTTAAGTGCAAAGTTATAATGATTCAACTCAGTGTACCAGATGTGTCTGTGGCTGAGATAGTACTGATAATTGTACTTATGTATACCTGCACCTAAATAAACTTACACACTGCTGGTGTGCAGGTACATTAAAATCACTATTTGACATCGTTACAAGTAGGAGTAGCTATGCCAGGCGAGGAAGTAGCTACGAGTGTGTGTTGCCATGAACTCTGCTTTGCTCTCGATTCCATTTGGAAACTTTCCAAAGTTTCAAGTGTTTTAAAGTTATTACATATATTATATATACTATTTTTGTGTAACGATGGCATCTAAAGGTAGTTGTGATAAAAGGAGAAGTCATAATAACCTTACTGCTGACATCAAAACTAATAAAATTCAGTGAAGAGTCAAAGAATGAAGATGTGCCATCTCCTCCTGACTTCCTACAATAAATACTATTCACCACTTACTATAAGCTAAAGCTGAAATTATTTAAAGGCAAGTAATAAGTGTACTGTATATGCATTTTACTTTATTGTTTTTTAGGCCTAGTTCTATTGCTCACTTTATATATGATAGTGTAAAGACGTTATCAGGCCTATATATGCATTTAAAAATGGGGAAAAAATAAGGGGGGCTATTTGCTTTATGGCGGTGGCCTGGAACCTAACCCGCCATATAATCAGGGCCCTCCTGAATAGACTGTATTAAAATAATTGACTTTTAATGTAGTGTAACTCCTCTGTAGACATCTTTTTAACAACTTATGGAAATTTAGTAATTCACTGAACAAACATAATAGAGCTAAGATGACCAATATGTGTGTGTGTTTCATTGTGTGTGTTCATCTTCGTGTGTGTTTAAGTCAGAGAATGTCATTCTAATCTTAAGTTCTATCAGCTGTAAAATAGAACAGAGGCAAACAATTACCCAGTAATGATTATATGCTAGTCCAGTTAAAAAATGAAAACTATTATGACATGCCTGTCACTGAAAGCACTATATTAGCCTGCCACACTATATATAGACAAATGTAGAACAGAGCTTTTATTGATACAATGTTTTACAGGAACAAGTAGTTCCTGTAAAACATTGTATCAATAAAAGTCACTGACTTATGTATTCAAAACTCTGCCTTGATAGATGTCCTGCATTTATGTATTTCAACCATTGTCATATGCCATTTTTCCCTAAGATGCAAAAGGACTTACAGCTTGCACAGCAGTAGGTGTAACAGCATCAATGGCTGCAGCTGCTTCAACAGGGCTAATGAACTGGTCTGTTAACAGAGCTTGTAGACCCATGTCTTCTAAGCACACACCTGAAGAAATTAAAACACATTGTAAAGCACTGCCTTTAATTTAGTAATAAATCCATGTGGGTCATTTAGTAAGAGGAATGAGAGAGACTAACCTCCATCTGGTAATCATGGAAACTTTTCAGTAGAGGTTTCATGAACCAATGAGCAACACTTATTTGAATACCTTCTGCAACACCAGTAATTTAGACTTCCCTACCACTTTAGCTCAGCTTCCCTTCCACCTTCTGTTGGCATGGGCCTGATCTAAAGATGACTGCTAATTGTCAGGGAGTCAAATGACATGGGAATATGGCAGTCTATAAGGTTCATCATGCCTTACACAGTTTTTCCATTCTACAAAACCATGGTATTGTACAGTATTCTGTGTAACGATTCTGATAAACTACAGTACTAGGAGTCCTACTGACGAAACCCTAATAATATACAGATCCTCCATCACAAATCCGGCATCAATGGAACCTGTAGTGTGTCAGATTACCGAGTTTGCCGGATTACAGAGTGATTAGGTTAGAATACACTTAATAAAATAAACCAACTTGACTTACACAAGGCTCACTGAACATGGCAAAAATTGAACATTTCCACTACTTTGAGCTCAATTTCAAGGCGCTTGTTGAGAAACCAACCAAAATCATCTATTTCTGTAATATATCTTCCATTCTATCAAACGAGACCAAAAAAACGAGAATACAACCATAAAAACCATACGAAAATATACCACTAATGGCTGAGAAGTGAACTCCATTATTTATATTCTGATTTCTTTCATTTTTGGTGTACATTAAGAAGCATCTTTCCATCATACACTGCCCAAGTTTCAATAAGATAGCCCAACAAACAACTGAGAGAAAAAATAATAATTATAATAATAATATCTTTATTTACTACAAGTACATGGTATACAGGCCTAGATGACATCAGTGACATACTATATAGAAAGCCCCTTGTTATGCTAAGCATTTCAGGCAAATTAGGTCAGTGTCCCAGGGTAACACCCACACCAGTCCACTAGCACCCAGGTACCCATTTACTGATGGGTGAACAAAGACAACATATGTAAAGAAACACGCCAAATGTTTCTACCCTGGCTGGGAATCGAATATTTACCAAAAACCATATAAATACTGTATGGCTAGCCCAAGCCATGTACAAGAAATAAGCCACTGACTTTTTTGGGTTATCCTAGATTCTCTACACATATGCTGCTATGTGTGACAATCTAGGTAGAGAAAATAGCTTTTTTGTTTCAGTTTTATGGTGCAGCACGTGTATATCATAGCCTGTGCTAATACTCTTTTCTTTAATATAAGCCCCCAAGACAGGGATAGGAGAATGGTACTTTTATCCCATATCCTATTCATACCTCTGTTGAACTGCTTGGCATTATGCCAAGCATTATTCACTCTGGAGTATTAATATGTTATTATATTATTTATATCATTTATTATGTCATATTAGATCAATTGTGATAGGCAAATAAGCTGTAGTGTTGATATTAGCATAATAATAAAGCATATTCCCCTGCATCACGAGACTGAACTCATAGCAACCGACAGTCGCTTCAAAGCCACCTTGTCTTTAATGGACTATGTACTGTGTAGGTGCTTTACACAACGAGAAGCATTTCTTTTATTTGTTGGAACCATGGCTAGGGCTAAAAGTAATCAGGTTATAACAATAAACAGAGAACAAGAAACTAGAATGACTTATGCAGCAAGTAGTGCCATCAAACAGTAGCAGCAGGATGGTGTGGTGACCCTGGAAATTTGAAATTATGCTAACCGAAATTAATGCCAAATAACTGAAGGAACCGAATAACTGATTGCCGGATTTGTGATGGCGGACCTGTAATATGAACTTCTAAAGGTAGAAGTACCCAAGCTGTTTTAACTCTAAAGGCTATTATATATATATAAAAAAACATTCTGCATAATATTTACACCACACATTGCCCTTAGACAGGACATCTCCACTGCCTCCATATAAGAGTGTTGAGTGTGAAGCTTGGCTTGTAAATGCTGCAGCGAGGAGACGGTTGGAGGCAGTGGAGATGTCCTGTCTACGGGCAATGTGTAGTGTAAATACAGGTACCATCCGACTTAAGACCAAGTTCGGTTCTGACAAACCGGTCGAAAGTCGAAATGGACACAAGTCGAACCTTACTACTGAATATTAACATAACATTTTTGTAATGACTATTTTATTGTTTTATTTTGGTATTTCATTTTTTGCTTTACTCTTTATACTGTTAGTACTGTATTTTATAATGTAAGGTTTAGGATAAACACTGTGTACAACACAAACAGTTGTTTATTACCCAGAAATTTGGCACAGAAAACATGGTCGTAAGTCGAATGGTCGTATGTCGAGCAGGTCGTAAGTCGGATGGTAGGTGTATTATGCAGAAAATTCAGAGTGTAGAAATTAGGAGAAGGTGTGGAGTTAACCCTTCGACTGTTTCAGGCCCCTTTCTGAAACTGTCATTCTATGTCGCTAAATTTTTGAAAAAAAAAAAAAAAAAAGAAAAAAAAAAAAAAAAAAAAAAAAAAAAAAAAAAAAAACTTATGAAATGACAGAGAATCTTTTCCCGATGGTAATGACACCAAAAGTTCGAAATTTGGTAGAAAACTCATGGAATTACGCTCCCGCGAAGTTTGCAATCTCGGCAACATATGCGCATTGGCAATTTCGCCGACTTTGAGCCCTATTTTCAGCCAATTCCGTTGTTCCAGTTGACCAAACTCATAGCTATTTCTTTAGAACTCCATTTTATCTTTCAGCTGAGTACAAGAAACCTCCCATTTACCAATTTGGACTGCCCAATATTGTGGTCAGAAATTGGCAATTTGGCCAATTTCACGCAAACTAAAAAAGATGCCAATTTCAAAATAGGGTCCAGAATAAACAAGGTAGACATTCTTGGCACTAAAATAACATATCCTCTGTTCATTAGTCACATCTCTAGGCCCCTCTATAAATTATTATTGCTTTCTATTTTGATTTTTTTTTTCATGCAAAAAAATACAAAATTTACTGTTATGCAGACTACTGCATTATTGTAAAAATGGTATAAGTAACATCAGTGCACTAGTGAAAGAATATTAGACTCCCCAGCTGACATGTATTGGACGTGTGGTGTGATTTGTTTACTCCTGAACATTTGTAAAAATCAAACATTTCCACTACTTTGAGCTCAGTTTCAAGGTAGTTTTCATTGTCAAAGTAATGAAAATCATCTCTATTTCTGTAATATGTTTTCCATTTTATCACCTAAGACCATGAAAACACAAATACATTGATAAATACTATATGAAAATACACCTCAAAGTCGGCGTTTTAATCCAAAAAAAAACGATCAGATTTTTTTTTTCTCATGCACTGTGTGCTGCAGGATTTTTTTTATGTGGTGCACACTGACCACACAGACCCATTCTCTCACATGTGGGCCTACCAGCTTTCTTCCGCTTGATTTGAAGCCGCTAGAATTATTGAGTATATATACGTCTGAAACACTGGCTCGTAAGACGTATATATACGACCAAAACAGTCAAAGGGTTAATAAAAGTATGTATTAGTCAGAGGGCTGAAGAGGGGTTGTTAAGGTGGTTTGGTCATTTAGAGAGAATGGATCAAAGTAGAATGACAAGGAGAGCATATAAATCTGTAGGGGGAAGGAAGGCGGGGTAGGGGGTGTCCTCGAAAAGGTTGGAGGGAGGGGTAAAGGAAGTTTTGTGGGTGCGGGGCTTGGACTTCCAGCAAGAGTGCATGAGCATGTTAGATAGGAGTGAATGAAGACGAATGATATTTGGGACCTGACGAGCTGTTGGAGTGTGAGCAGGGTAATATTTAGTGAAAGGATTCAGGGAAACCGGTTACAGTGGACCCCCGCATACAGATGGCATCACATAACGATTAATCCGCATACCGCTTGCTTTAATCGCAAAAATTTTGCCTCGCATACCGCTTAAAAACCCGCTCACCGATTTTCGTCCGAGACGCGTCCAATGTGCGGCCTGAGCCACGCTCACATGTTCCGCCGGTGGCATTGTTTACCAGCCAGCCTCCGCGGTAACATCCAAGCATACAATCGGAATATTTCGTATTATTACAGTGGACCCCCGCATAACGATGGCATCACATAGCGATTTTTCCGCATAACGATTACTTTTATCGCAAAATTTTTGCCGCGCATACCGATTAAAAACCCGCATACCGATTTTCGTCCGAGACGCGTCCAATGTGCCCTCAGCCAGCCTCACATGTGCCGCCCCGTCCCATTGTTTACCAGCCAGCCTCCGCGGTAACATCCAAGCATACACTCGGAATATTTCGTATTATTACAGTATTTTCGGTGCTGTTTCTGGAAAATAAGTGACCATGGGCCCCAAGAAAGCTTCTAGTGCCAACCCTACACCTCAAAGGGTAAGAATTACTATAGAGATGAAAAAAGAGATAATTGATAAGTATGAAAGTGGAGTGCGTATAGCCGACCTAGTCAAGCTGTACAAGAAACCCCAATCAAACCATCGCTACTATTGTGGGCACCAGAAAGACAATCAAGGAAGCTGTTCTTGCCAAAGGTTCAACTGTGTTTTCGAAACAAAGATCGCAAGTGATGGAAGATGTTGAGAGACTCTTATTGGTGTGGATAAATGAAAAACAGATAGCAGGAGATAGCGTCTCTCAAGCGATCATATGTGAAAAGGCTAGGAAGTTGCATGAGGATTTAATTAAAAAAATGCCTGCAACTAGTGATGATGTGAGTGAATTTAAGGCCAGCAAAGGTTGGTTTGAGAGATTTAAGAAGCGTAGTGGCATCCATAGTGTGATAAGGCATGGTGAGGCTGCCAGTTCGGACCACAAAGCGGCTGAAAAATTGTGCAGGAATTCAAGGAGTACATAGAAACTGAAGGACTGAAACCTGAACAAGTGTTTAATTGTGATGAAAACAGGCCTGTTCTGGAAGAAAATGCCAAGCAGGACCTACATTACTCAGGAGG